CTGTCTACTGCTAAGCTGAAACTTCGAAAAATCATAACTTCCTCATACGAAGTTAGATTTGGGTGTTCTTGTTATACCTACTCTCGGTTTAACGAACACTACAAGTTTCGTTTATATCACTAAGGATAAAAAGTAGTTTATCGAAAACTCACTTTTTACGACATTCAGCACCGAGCCGGTTTTGTCGTAAAACTTCGACATGTCATAACTTCTTCGTTATAACTCGGATTTCGGCATTCTTTATATATCCGTAATCCTTGTCACGACCACTACAACTTTTTTAATAGATATAGGCTTTATCTAAAGTTTAATTTTGACGCTCATTTTTATTCTTAATTAATTAACTCCTAGTAATTAAGCATAAAACACATAAAACACATAGAATTCACATAATTCCTTTTTCATTTCTTCAAAATGAGTTACAAAGGTTAACCTAGACTATTACCTTAATATTAATGCCTAGGCTAGAAACACGAGTGTTACACACGGCGAGTCAGGTCAAACATGGACTGTTGACTCGAGTTTGACTTTTGTTGACTTTTGAGGTTTTGACGAAAGTGAGTAATGGAGACCATGGAGGAGTAGAATGGTCTTTTACCCATCCCAAGAGTTAGAGAGGGGCTAGTATGAGTTTATTTATAGTTGCGATTTTAATTAGAGATAATTATCATATGTGTTAGGTGGAGGCTAGATCGGTGATTCGTGTACGAGGTGTAATTGCTTGCTTGCTTCGAGGTGAGTCTTCTCACTATACTTTACCTAGAGTGGTAATTACGTGTGACAAGAGGGTCTTATGTGCTTACTTGAGTTATGCATTTTTCTGTATGATATATATGCTATATTATGTGATACTGAGACCGGACCGGAGGGTCCAACGAGGTGTGAGACCGGAGGGTCCTCACTAAGACCGGACTAGAGGGTCCAATGACCATCGGGACTGGAGGGTCCCACTGAGACACATCGACCGGAGGGTCTTACGGAGATATAGCCTCGAGTGGCTAATGCGTTATGTGTGGTATTTTTGGGAACTCACTAAGCTTCGTGCTTACCGTGTTTTGTGTTATGTGTTTCAGGTTTTCTCAGGAACATGGGAAGACGTCGACTTGACAGTTAAGAGCTATGAGGATCCTGGATTTTAATTAAACAATCATGGAGTTGCGATTTGTAAATTAACTAAATGAGATTTTTGTGAAATGTGTTACGAGAATTATGCGATTTAAAAATGAAAAATTTGTTTAAGAATTTACGGTGTTACAAATTTTGAACATTGTTTTGTTTTGTGATTCTTCCCAAACATCTATATGAATGGTATCTTGAGAAATTTCAATGTCATCATCTCCTAGAACTCCAATATCATTCATAAAGTTTACAACTAGAGTTTCACACACGCCATCTGAATCTTCTCAACATTTCTTTGTGATTCACTTACACTATCGTCACTATCACATGAGTTGGGTTCATCAAACCTAAAGTCATCATCTACCTGAAATATATCATCATTGGGAAAAAGAAATGATAGATTTGAGGAATTGGTCACTTGTGACTATATCTCGTTGTGGTACATCAAAATTACAAAGGGGATCTACAAAACAAATATTTATAGGCAGTCTTGTTTATTCATGAGATGTTTTTTAATTCCAACAATAACTTTCCCACAATAATTTTGGTCATTCTCACCCAAATATAATACATCACGTCAACTTGAATCATTTATCAGTCGTGAAATATTATATATGCCACCAAATCGATAGAGGCAAATGAAAGATGAATGAACTTATAATGAGGAAATAATGATGAAAATTTTTAAAGAAAGTATGAAATGAATCTACATCTAATAAGTTGAAATTATAATGTAAAAAATGGTGAAAGATTTTACAATACGATGTGACAATTCATATAATCATTTTTTTGGTTATTGAGATATATAATAAACATAACTTTTGCTTTTGTTTTTAGAGATATCATCTAACTTTCTTTTGAAATGACAAATCAAATTTTATTTATTAAGATATTATTTTAAATTGGTATAAAAATATTATTATATGATTTATAATATGATATATTAATTCTTTATATTTATAATAAGATATTATTATAGTTCATATACTAGTTAAGGATAAGAAAAAAATAAAGAAACAAACAATTTAACTAAAAATATTTATATAATTTCTAAGCGTTAGAATTAAAAAATAATTATATATTTCATAGATTTTTAAAAGGTATATATACACTAAAATCTCAATATTTTCATCGATTTGAAAAGAATGTCCTAAACTTAATTTTTTTTTTAACAGTAAAGTCCAAATTACCGGCAGTTTTTGACACTTTTACCCTTTTTTCCGGTTAGCCTGTAATTAGGACTTTTTTTTGTCAAAAAAAGAAAGTTTAGGACTTTCTTGTCAAATCGTCCAATTAGGACTTTACTGTCAAAAAAATAAAGTTTAGCACTTTCTTGTCAAATCGTTGAAAATATTGAGACTTTAGTGTATATATCATTATTTTTTTGTTAGAAAAGACTTGTAAAACTTTCTTTTTTCTCCATTTTTGGGACTGCAAAAAGTCAACACAACCACAAACAACACATGCCTAGTCAAAAGGGTGTGAATGTGGGGACGGATTATACAAACACAAACAACACATGCCTAGTCAAAAGGGTGTCAATGTGGAGAAGGGAAAGAAGGGCAATTTTGTTTTTTTCGGTTTCTTATTTCTTCTTTTTGGGACTGCAAAAAGCCAACACAACCCTGATTCTTTCTTTCTTTCTTGATTATCTCCATTTTTTTAATGTCGGTTTGTTGAGATTAAAAAACGATTTAACAAGAACCAAACGTTAATGATTTCAATAGTATCTAGCTGACTAGAGAATGTTTCAATAACTCTTATGCTTAAAGAGTATCATACCATTAAATTTCTAACAAAAAAAATTATATATATACACTAAAGTCCCAATATTTTCAACGATTTGACAAAAAAGTCCTAAACTTTATTTTTTTGACAGTAAAGTCCTAATTTACGATTTGACAAGAAAGTCCTAAACTTTATTTTTTTGACAAAAAAAGTCCTAATTACCGGCTAACCGGAAAAAAGAGTAAAAGTTTCAAAAATTGCCGGTAATTTGGACTTTACTGTCAAAAAAATAAAGTTTAGAATTTTTTTATCAAATCGATGAAAATATTGGGAGTTTAATGTATATATCCCATCATTTCCCTTTTTAAAATACCATATTTAAAAAAGTTCCCCTACTTTTACAAACAAACCATTAAAACTGCCCCTGCTTTTCAAACAATATTTTTAAGATACGCTATTCAAAAAAAAAAAAAAAAAAAAAAAAACCTCAAAATATAAAGCCTTATTTNTTCCTTTGCAACAATGTCAATTCTTACAAGACTTCTTCCAACGATTACGACAAGACAAAGAATACGAGAATGAGCAATTGTTTCAGATTGCTCTGAAATTGGCGCAATGATTAGATCTCAAGAAAAAGAAAATGTTGACTTGACTGAAGAAACAGTCGAATAGTTGGT